CTGTCATTTACCCCAATGGCATTCCATGCAACAAAATATGGATCAACTGGTTGTTCTTCAAGTTTTTTGATATTCATATGAGAAGTGCAACCCTCAGTGGATCTGATGTATAGCCCTCCACCCAATGCAAACGTCTGCAGTGTCCACACAAATACTTAGAGTGGCAGCATTCTTCAGATAATGAACATATGCTTTAGCAGATATGTAAAGTGGCCATACATTAAAAGTGATGCTATGCCTAAACAATAACAGTAAAAGTTCAAGTCTGGAGACTGGCTTTCAACAAGTCATTTGCTTGCAAATCAATGAGCTCCAACTGTAGTTCGACTGGCACGTCATCAAGGTTACAATCAAACGGATTCTGGAACAGAAGAATGTCTCTCTCAATTCTGTCGAGATCTGAAAATCTCTCCAAAAAATGCTTATTTAAGTCACTAATAATCTTCTTCGGAACTCGAGATTGACATCTTCTGCGATTCCAGTGCGAAACTCTTTGAAACACTGAAAATGAGAGAAGTTTCCTTCTTCCAGTTGTGCTTCAAACAATGATAGCTTTCTCCGAAATCCTTTGATGATTCTGTAGATATCACAGATAAGGTTATCCTTTCCCTGAAGTTTCAAGTTCAATTCATTTATGTGGGATGTGATGTCAACCAAAAATGACAACTTTGACAGCCAGGTAGGATGTGACAGAAGTGGATCAGCTCTGTCCTTTCAGTGAGAAAAATATCTATTTCTCTTCGGAGCTTATAAAAACGAAACAGGATTTTACCGCAGCTGAGCCACCTCACTGCTGTGTGATAAGGCAAGTCACAGAATTCAGAATCAATTTCTTCAAGAAAAGCCTGGAACTGGCTGTGATTAAGTGCTTGACCCTGAATAAAGTTCACCGCAGAAACGACTGGTTTCAGTACGCAAGAAATATCTAAGTCTTTCATACTGAGTGCTTGCTGATGTATAATGCAGTGTATAAACAGAGCACCCGGGAGTTAAAGATCTTCCAACTTAGTTCATATCTAATAATGGCTGGAGACGGCTTGAATGGGTAATGAAGAAAAACTTTAATATAAGTTTAGCACACCAGCAAATGTACAACGTTTCAACAAGGTTTTGTCATCATGACAAAACCTTGTTGAAACGTTGTACATTTGCTGTTGTGCTAAACTTATATTAAAGTTTTTCTTCATTACCCATTCAAGCCGTCTCCAGCCATTATTAGTCTCAAAGTGGGTTCATCGTCATCGAATTTTAGTTCATATCTGCCCCACCAGACCCTTCCTCACTCCAGCCATGTTTTTTCCTCCATCAACTGTAACACATCGAAGCTGATTCCACTGAAGGTTATAGCCTTACAAAGTTTTCTGCACTTCCATAAAAATGTCTTCTCCAGTTGTTCTGTGCATGCTGCAAATGGATGCCAACTCTTCTGTGATCTGAAATTCCAAATTAACACCATGAATGAACACGAGAAGTTGTGACATACTCGAGAGATCAGTAGACTCATCCAGCACCAGAGAATACCACAAGAAGTTCCTAGCTTTCTCACGTATCTGTGACACTATGTTATCTCCAAGTTCTTTTGTTCTCCGCACAACTGAACTTGCTGAAAGGCTGATACTTTCAAAGAAGGCCTGGCATGGCCAAGTGGTTAGGGCACTTGACTCGCACTCTGTGGGTCGCGAGTTCGAATCCCCATCCCACCAAACATGCTCGCCCTTTCAGCTGTGGGGGCGTTATAATGTGACAGTTAATCCCACTATTCGTTGGTAAAAGAGTAGCCCAAGAGTTGGCGGTGGGTGGTGATGACTAGCTGCCTTCCCTCTAGTCTTACACTGCTAAATTAGGGATGGCTAGTGCAGATAGCCCTCGTGTAGCTTTGCGCGAAATTCAAAACTAACTTTCAAACAAATCGGCTTTCTCAGGACACAAGTCATTTGCTGCTTCCATCATACACTCTTTGATGAAGTTGCCGCCAGTAAACGGTTTTCCTCGCTCTGCCATCTTATGCACTATTTTGTAACTTGTTAAAGTGACAGATTCATTTTCAGCAAACATTCTCGTGAAGAGATTCCAAAGTACATTTCGGGAACTCAAATTTCTCAAAATGCAACTTTCCAGAAAACTTCGAATATGTTGGTAGATGTTTTGTTTCATAGTGACACCTAAGATTGTACTCTTTCAAAACGGCAACACTTTCGTTGCATATCATGCAACTAGCTTTCTGGTTGTTTGTTTCCACAAAGCAGTACTTTTCTCCCCATTCTTCATTGAAAAGGTGACACTCAGCATCTACCTTTCTTTTCTTAGTAGCCATAATAAATAAACAATTGTTTTTCATTTTCAGATCCTGTTTTCTTCACCCATCACACATTGAATAGTCTACCAAAAAAGTTTTAGAAAAGTAATAATTTTTCAAAATTTTATTGACATGTATATAAACATGACAAACTAAATGTAAATAGTTCATGACATTAAATTACATTATTATGTAATTGGTTTAAAGGTTTTTTCCGATAAGTTATTTGATTAAGCAATTTTTATAATTTGCTAATGTACTTAAAATTTATTATGTAAGTTAATTAGAAGAGATTCATAAATAATAATTAAGATCATATTTAATAAAAATGTTAAGAATCTTAATAGGCAAATATAGTATTAGGAATTTAATACCCACGGACCGTAGTTTGGTGACCCATGTCTCAATAGATGGAGAAAAAATTAAAAAAAATACTTGGAAGTTTAATTATCTCTCAATAGATGGAGAAAAAATTAACAAAAATTATTGAAAGTTCAGTTATCTCTCAATAGATGGAGAAAAAAATTAAGAAAAAATTATTGGAAGTTCAGTTATCTCTCAATAGATGGAGAAAAAATTAAGAAATAATACTTGGAAGTTTAATTATCTCTCAATAGATG